GACACATAGCCCAATTTGCTTTCCTCTGCCTCCCTGTGGGCATAGGAATGCTCATACATCTGGGAATGATGAGCCGCCCTGAGGTCAAGGAAGTAAACAGATGTCTTCTGCCCATAGCATCTCTGGTGGATGAACTTTCCAGCCCAGCTGCAATTTACCCAGTGGCACTCTTCTTATCAGGATACTGCTATAAACTCTCACATGAGTAAATGAAGTAAATGCTCCAGCCTGCCCAGGCAACCTTCGTCTGGCATCAATCACGCCATAAAACGAGCCCATGAGTACCATAACAGCCCAGGTGTCTACAATTTCCAATGCCCAAGCCACCTGAAAGCATGCAACCACCTCTCAATCACAGTTTCGCTGCCTCAGCTCAAGGACAGAACTCGAAGTACTGTAGCTCAGTCCTGGCCATGCTGAGGTTGAATGGAAACCCCCTTCCTAGCCTCCTAGGCAGTCCACCATGATTGGGCAAAACGGAACGACAAGCCGGCGAAGTGTAAAAGTAACTGGGCTAATAGCAGGGGTGCAGTTTGTGAAGCCAGGGAGCTCCTGATTCTCAATGAGTTGCCTTGACTCCTCCTGCATGTTTTCTCCACTCGCCAGCTAGCAAAGCATGCTGCCGATACCCAGACACACTCAGCTGTCTAAAGCAGTTGGATGCTGCTGAAGGGGAGGTGGCAGCTACACTCCAAAATATTTCTAGTTGGATTCATGATTTTGTCTTAAGTTTAAAGACATCGAAATAGTTTACAGAGTCCAACACGTATGCCGAGTTAAATACTAGAGAAAAAGTTCTCAGGGAGAGGCAATGGTTGTGAAATGATGAGAAGGCACTAAATGCCACTGAATTATAACTCTTGAAACTAACTAAATCTGTGCTGTTACTCTCCCCCTAATAAAAAATGACTCAAATTCTAGGGAAGGAATTTGCTGAGGAATTAAAACGCAAGTCTTCTGGGAACAATTATCAAATGAATTCTTTTCTCTCACATGCATGTTTAATAAGAACCAAGTACTAAAATGTGGGGCTTAGAAAAGTAGGGTACTTATATTCCCATATTCTTAAATTCTCAATGGATTTACACTCAGAATTTCTCGCCCCTTTGTTGTTTTCTGATCCATTCGTCAGTGATGGTTTGCTTTGGTTGTTTTGAAGACTGAGATATTTTTATTTTATATGTATGAATATTTGCCTGCACCACATACATGTAGCAACTGCAGAGGCCGCAGGAGGGTGTTGGATTCCCCAGACCTGGAGTTATAGATGGTTGTGAGCTGCCATGTGGGTGCTGGGAACTGAACTCAGGTCCTCTGCAAGAGCAGTGCTCTTAACCACTGAGCCATCTCTCTGGGCCCAAGTGATGATTAGTTTTAATTGTCGGCTTGCACAATGCAAAATCAGCTGGGCAGTAAGTCCCAGTGAGGAACTGGCTAGATCAGGTTGGGCTGTGGGCATGTCTGTGTGTGTGTGTGGGGGGGGGATTCTCTTTATTGTGATGGAAATATCCACCTCCTGGCTCTCTGTGGGCTGCACTATTTTAACAACTGGGCCCTAGACAGAATGAAAAGGAGAGAGTAAGCTGGTTACTAACAGGCAGACATGCAGCCATTCTCTCTGTGCCCTTGACTGTAGATGTGACTGGCTGCATTAAGTCCCTGACACCTTCACTTCCCCACAACAATGGGCTGTGACACAGATGTGTGAGTTAGCATGTACCCTTACTCCTCTAAATTGTCTTTATGGGGGGATAGAATATCACAGCAACGGGGGGGGGGGGGGAATTAAGCCATTGTCTAAGAAGAGAAAAATCTTTTCTTTTTTATCACATTATTTTCCAGAATGAAGTAGTAACTTTCTTTGTTGCTTTAAGAAAGTTCCTGATGGGACAACTGAAGGGTTTATGCTCGCTCAACAGTTAGGGTGTTTGATTTTTACAAATCCAGAAGGTTGCCACTTTATCACGAAAGCGCTGATGTCTAGAAATGGGTCACAGTGGGAGTGTCTACACTGCAGATATCATCAGAGTGTGTTTTTTGGACAGCAGGTTTGTCAGCCCACCGTTGGTAACAAGCACCAACCCCTGTGAACACTGATAACTACCCTACATGGTCTGTGCTGAGATTGACACTTCCAGGACTAATCCCCTAATCTAAGGCCTAGATATTCAAGAAGTCAAATGCCGTCTTTCCTCTGCCAAGATAAGGAGACCCCTGTACAGTTTTCCTCAACTTTTATCTGACTCAAAGTTTAAAATGTCCACAATGAATTAGACATCTCCTCAGTTTTGATACAGGAGTCTGTTACATACTTGAATACCTGAATTCCTGAACACTTGTGGTTTTATTTTTTTTTCTCTTGCTACACAAATGCAGTCTGCTTTTGTCTCAGCTACGATTAGGACGATGACATCATCCGTTTATATTAAGTGTTTAATATTCTGCATTTGCTGTGCTTTATACCAATTCAGATGGCTGCTTTTGTCTGGTTTTGAATGTTATAAATCAAGTTTGACCATAATCCAGATCGAGTGTCAGCAAATGGCCAGTAGCCATCTCTGAGCATGGCCGTGCTGCGAACTGATACCCTGAGACGATGGCTCTTTGGGTTTTCATTTTAGATTGTAAATGTAAAGAGTAATAAAATAAAGAGGAGGAGAAGGAGAATGAAGAAAGGGGCCAGGGAGGAGATGAGTCCCTGTCTTCAGGAGCAGCTTTCTAATGCCTGGTCTTGATGATCACTACAGCATCAGGGCTGGGGAGAGCGGCAGCTCAGCTGGAGAAGTGACATAGACAAGAGGATCCCTGCAGCTGATTAGACACCCCAAAACAGCGCGGATGATGTGAATTCATTGTCTAGCCCTTGAAATCAGTCCTGGAGAATGTGAAGGTAACAGAATGGGAAGAGCAAGGCAGGACATTCTGGACAAAAGAAAAAACAAAACAAGCACAAAAAGTTCTAGGGGCAGAGGGGATGGGCAAATCTGAGGGTCAGGCATCGGGGAGAGCAGGCATGGGAGAAAGGGAGGGATGTGCATGATGAGGTAGACAATTCCAGACCTTGGCAGGTCTCATATAGAACTTGGAACCACCTAAATATATCATTTTAATAATCAGAGTATTTAAAGAAGTGTCAGGAATCCAAACACTGTTGAGGCAGAGACAGGAGGATCTCAAGGTGTCTGGCGTACATAATAAATTTTAAACTAGCCTGAGTTACATAGTGAGACTTTTAAAAACATAATAAAGAGAGAGAAAAATTACTAAAAGAGAAGAGGAGGGGGAGAAACAAGAGGAGAAACAATAGGGGAAGGTGAGGAGAGGCAAGGGCCATGGAGGGAGGCAGGAGCAAGAACAGAGCACAAGTCCACAATTAGAACTGGTACATGGAAAAATAATTACTGATTATTCAGTTCATGATCCAGCTATGAACCCATCCCCCCACACACCCATTGGAATTAAATGAGTTTTCAACAAGAGTGTGCTTGGGGTTGCTGGGACGGCTCAGCCAGTAAACACACTTGCTGCCTGACATGCTAGTCTGAGGATTTGTTTCGGTCAGCAGAACCCACATAAAGGTGAAAGGAGAGAACCATCTCCACAGCATTGTCCTTGGACCTCCACGTGCACCCTGTGACACACACCCACACTGACACACACAAACCCCAGAAAACAAGATGTGAACTATGCCTGAGAATGACATCTGAGATTATCCACTGGCTTTTCCATGCACAGGAACATATGTGCATGTGCACAAATGTATATACACATACACACATGTGCACACACACATTACACACACACACACACACACACACACACACACACACACACACACATGAATCTAAGAAGAATACTAGGGAAAAGATGTGTTGGAATTTAAAAAACTTTTTGAAATTAAAAATAGGAAAGCAATTGTAAAAAAAAAGAAAACTTCAACATATAGCTGAGAAGATTGAAGAAGAAATCAGAAACAGAAAATAAGTATGTGCAGAAGAGTGGGAAACAAATGATCAGATAAATACTTCAAAAGAAAATCTAAAATGGAGAGGATTTGGTTAGAGGTCTAAAGGGATCAGAAAATCCACAGGATAATGGGTGACATCAGACTCATCCCAAGATGCACCATGGAAAATGTTAACTCTTGAAATTAACAAAGAATTTCACAGTTTCGTATTAAGAAAAACTGGAGTTTATGTATATCTCCAACTCTAGCATGGTAGATATTTTATTAGGTCATTCCTCTTAATAAGTGACTAAAATTTTGTCATTGATTTTGGATGTGGAATGTATTCAGCAGGCCCATGTCTTTGAAGACTTCTTTTCCAGAGGTTGGTGTTGTTATAGGTCGTGGGGAGTGAGGAATCTCCCAGATGTCGGATCTTGTTAGTAGGTGTGGATTACTGTGGTAAGTTGAATGAAGAATAGGCGCAGGCTTTTGAATACTTGGTTCCCAGTTGGTGGCACTGTTTGAGGAACTTATGGAACCTTTCTGAGGTGGAGTCTCGGTGAAGGAAGTCCATCACTAGAGGGTGGGATTTGAAAGTTTATAGTCTCCCATCAATTCTTGTCCACACTTTCTGCTTCCTATTGGAGGCTGAAGATTTCATCTCTTGGCTTTCTGCTCCAGACTCTTCCTGCCATGTCTCCCCCGTCATTATTCTCTCTCTCTCTCTCTCTCTCTCTCTCTCTCTCTC